AAGGGAAATGAGAAGTGCTATGGGTAAAATCCCAGAAGTACAATAAGGCCACTAACATACTTTAGCTATACCCAGGGCTAGATTTCGACAACTGAATCATGTCATAAATCTCCATATCTTTCCAGAATTGGCTTTTCTTACCCTCAACCTTAGTAAGCCAAGAAAGATATGGTTCAAGGTCTTTCATCAAGGGAAAGATAAAAACACTTTAAGAATGTTATTCATATATTCTAAATTTATCTTATCTTCAATTTTTCAAGAGTCAGTCGAAGACTTCACTTGTTCATCCACAAATTTCTGGGTATCAGATTTTCTACCTTTATCATCATGTTTTTGTTTTCTAGCCAAAGGTTTAGTACGATGATAAACATGGAAGAAAACTTTAAGTTTTTTTGAATCTGCATTAGGGTCGGTCAAGGGACCCACATATGCATGTGTTTCACTATAAATAGTCAAAGGGATAAGTACATGAGATTGGTAGATTTTGCGCTTCTCTTCAAGAAGAGGAGGCTCAGGAACATACTTCTGATTTCCTACCAGTAGTGGTGTTGATATATTGATGATTGGGATGGAATTTTTTGCTTGGATACTTTGATTTTGGGTGCCATTGTTTAAGATTAAAGCTTAGAAGACAAAGATTTCGTGAAGATTATGAAGAAAAAGCTAAAGAAAAACGCAAGTTTAAGAGTGCAGAAGTTGGAAAAGTATTGAAAATGAAAGGTTTTGGCATTTATAGGAAGACGAAGAATGGTGTTTCATTTTCATGAATAAAGAGTTAATGGAGCACATGTTACACTTTAAAAGGATGCGAAAGCAGTTACCTAGGCAAGTTACTACCATACTCCTATTTTTTAGGAGTAATGATTCAAACCACCAATGCACGTCTCAATGAGACGTTTATGAAAAAGTGGTCATCATGACCATGAAATCACAACAATAATGGCTAATGCGTCGAAAGTTTTCAAAAAATGTCCTCTTCTCAATTTGATCGAACAAAACATTTTTGGGGGGAAATTTGTTAGCTGTAAATTTGACGCTCAAGTTTGACTAGTTGGCAAAGAGTTTTTCAAGAGAAATTAAGAAAAGTGAAGAGATATTCAATGGAAGAAAATGTTGGTCTTTTGACCGAAGTTTGGTAAAATGATACATTGTTGAAACTTAGCATTTTAAAAACAATTCGAAGTGGGTTCGACAAGGATATTTGAATTTTGGCGCTTATATGTTTTTTTGGAAAGAGACGCGTGGAGGCCTGCGAAGAGTCAAACGCATGCAACTGAGAACGTATCATCTTCTGATGAGAAGATTGTTTGTGTCGAATTAGTATAAATAGGAGTCTTTAGTTTTAGGATTTTGTGTGTTTAATTTTGTGTAAATTACTCATATCCACTCAAAGTACCAACTGTTATCGAGAAACGAGTTTCTGAGAATGTACGTATGAAACACCACTTTTATCATCCAATCCAAGTTTATGTTTAAAAGTCATTTACGATTTCTTTACTTTTTGGTCGAAACTTTTATTTCTTTGTCATTTACATTCTTCGCTGTGTCATTTATCTTCAAATTTACTTTTATATTCGAAGAGATCAATATAAAAAAAACTATAAAAAATAACACAAACTATACATTATTGTCCTAGAATTAATCTAGTTGATCATGTAAGTAACCATAGTCATTAGATTTTGGAAGACTAGCAGTTGTTTACCAAATTTCACAGTAAACAGATGCACATCAAGACTCAGATGATATCGTCCAATATACATAAATACTAAAATTTCCTAGTTTTGACATCATAAAAAACATCTTTAATAGGAAGGTGCACTCACAAGATCTTTGACACAACATTCTGCTCTGAAATAGTTTCTCCATAATACTTAATTTGATTCACCAATCGCATAATTCGCGTCACGTATTCGTTGATTGTCTCCTTCTTCTCCATTTAAATTAACTCAAATTGAAGTTTGTGAGTTTGTAAACTCACCACCTTTGCCTTATCAACCCCTGCACAAACCTTCTCCAAGATTTCTCAAACTTGTTTCGATGATTCGCAATAAGCCACTTTCTCAAAGTTCTCACCATCAACACATCGATGGATCAAAAACAGTGCCTTATAATCTTTCTTCGTTTCTTCCTTAAGCGTAGCCTTTTGTGCATCCGTTGCACCTTCGACAAGAGGACTTACCCCATTTTTTATCACTTCAAGAACATCTTGGTATCCAAATAACACCTTCATTTGCTATCACCTTTTGTCATATACTATCGTATCAAAGGTTGGTAGGTTTGTAGGGACTCTATCATTGAAGACATAATTCATGTTGCACAACAGAATATGGATCAAAACCATGCTCTTAATTCCATATGCCTATTCAATCACACAATTAGCGAACAATTGAGGGTTTAGGGTTATGTGGAGAAGAAGATAGTGATGAAGATGAAAGGATTATATATATATATATAGAGAGAGAGATAATTGGGGGTGGAAATCATTAATTGCATTAGTTTGAGATGAGGATGCCTCTAAGGCATTTATACAAGTGTTACACAACAATTAGGACCTAAACAAATCATGAAACAACAAGAAAAAGCTAAAAATCAGGCGTGTAACCGGTTAACACAAACTGTTAACCGATTACACAAACCAAAACAAAAACTATCAACTGTCAGGTGTAACTGGTTAACGCGTATACGAAACCAGTTAACGCTAGCTCAAAAGTGTTTTTCTTACTTTTATAAATACTTTTTCCATCAATTGTAATTGATTATACTCCTGTATTAATAAGTTACAATACTTGAATTATCAGGATATCGTCCAATAACGTTTATCGCTACTTTTGAAATTCTTTTTAATATTCAAGTGAGAAATAACATTTTCTAAAGCACATGAATAATAGATTGAAAAAAAATTTGTTTTACATTGGACAACTTACACATTTTTCTAATGGTTATAAAGTGGAGGTGGTCTCCTTAGAGTAACTTCAATGGGGAGTTTTTTTTTTCTAGTTTTCCAGCTGGAATGTGTTGCTTCAAATTTTCTTTCCATTGGAGTTGGCCACCGTGGCCAACTGTTGCATGCAGTGCAACGCTCATAGAACTTAACAAATAATAAACTAATAATAAAATATCCATACTTCTTTCTGCTTTTTGTTTTTAATTTCTTTTCTTTAACAAACATGATTTATATATTAAATTTTACTTCACACTAATAATTTTATAAACAATTTATTTTTTGAAAATGTTAATTTTACTTAATTTTAATTATTATTTTGAATTTTAAGTTTAATTTAATTAATTAATTAATTATATATTTTTATAAATTTAATAATTTAAATTAATAAAAATAAAATATTAATATATGAGATAAAGTTGTGAATCCCAATATGAGTTCTTTATAGTTACACTATTGGAGTGAAAAGTTAGTTGAGTTTCTTCAAGCTGACATGGCTTAATGGATCCTACAAAGAACTCAAAAATGGATTTACTGTTGGAGATGCTCTTAGGTTTCTCAAGGGATATCATTTTTTATTGCAAATGAAGGGAGAATTCCAATTTAATACCACATGTGATCCGTTCATTAAATTGTGTTTAGAAATGAAAAAAAAACTCGTATTCGAGGATATCCGTATTCGTTAATAAATTATAAAAATTACTTAAATATCACTATTAGTTTATTATATTATATCTTTTCATTTTCTAACAAAATAATCTTCTCATATATATATTTTTAAATTTTCTTTAAAGAAAACATTTATATTTTATATAAATCTTAGGGTTATTATCACTTTTGTCCCCTGTTATATATGTCACTTTTGGTTTACCTACTGTAAATTTTTTTTTTTATAAAAGTAACCTTGCCATTTTAAAATACTAACATTTTAGTCCATAAAGTCAAAATCCGCAGGTTTCTTATGGATTTTCTTTCGGATTTACCTGCAGATTTTGACTTTAGAAACTAAATTGTTAGTTATTTGAAAAAAAAATTTTACAAGGAGTAAACCAGAAATGACCTATATGACAGGGGTAAAATGATAATAACCCTAAATCCTATTCACCAATTCATATTTAAATTTCTTCTATATATTCTATATTTCACTTCAAGAATTTTACCATCATACCAATCAGTATTGTCATTTTTCCATCCAATCAGTATCATCATTTCTACTCTTCCACCATAATTCGCAATCACAATATATTTTAATTTATTTTGTTAAAAATGAAATGTATGAATATTATACTTTGGTGAAAATGAAGAAATTAATGTGATAAAATTTTATTGTTAAAATAAAAAAGATTTGTATGGATGTTACATGAAAATAACTTCTTATGTCTTTAAAAAAAGTTAAAAATATTTTTTCAAAATATAATTTAAAAAAAAGCGTTAACCATGAATATTTGTAAATATCCACAAATATCTAATAATCTGTTCACTATTCATTTAATGAATACTCGTACGAATATCATATTATCTGTCTTTATGGATATTCATTTAGTTGTGTTGGATATGATTTAAGATTTTGCTTGATTTGATATTAATATTATTTTTTCACACTAAAAACTTTAATTTTTTTAAAAGAAAAAAGTACATTTTTGAAATTGATAAGTCAATCCGAACAGTCAACTTTGATGGAGCACCATTATATTCAAAACAATCAAATTTTATTGAGCGTCCACTCTCGAATTCACTTCCACATTTTTTCATCTGGCCACCTGTTTCCATAACAATTAATGATCTGATTCATTCGTGCATAGGCTGAAGCTGAATTTTTCATTATAAATAGAGAACTTCAGCCACTTCTCAAATCACTATAAAACTTCACAGTTTTCATATTCACTCTCTTTTATGCTCTTTGAATTTTTGAATAGAAATCATAAACTAGATGAAAGCAAACAACGCAAGTACCAATGTATTAAAATTTATTTTTGGTCATAACACAACAGCCAAATTAAACAGGGAACATGGATAATTAGACAGCATGTACGGAACCTTCTTCAACTTTACTAATCCACTAGAAAGGGCCTCGTGGTGGTGGACCACCGAAGCAATCTCGCACCAACCAGCAACAGCATAAGCAGTAGAAGCTGCATGGAGGAATTCAAATTTAATTAGAACAAAGTGAAATCAGTTATAACTCAAAAAATCAAAAGAGCTTATGTTTATACTTCATATTATCATAATTATAACTAACCATGAAGATATCATGCTGCATAAACCGTTAGCACATCCACCAAAGAAGCCCCCGGGTCCAGGAGGACCCCAACCAGGTCCTCCTGGGCCAGGGCCCCAACCAGGTCCACCACCGGGCCCTCCCGGGCCCCAACCGGGTCCACCACCAGGCCCTCCAGGTCCGCCAGGTCCCATGGTTAATTGGCTTTGCGAGCACAAATTACAAGCAAGGCAAGGGAGCTGGAGAGAATAAGCTTTCAGCAACCAACCAACCAAAGGGTGTGTAAGTTTGATGATTTGGTGAGATTAGAAAGCTACAAAATTGGCTTCTATATATATAGAGGCTGTAATATTCAACAACTATTCTTCTTGACTGAAAGAGATGGAGAGATTTAATGAAATTGCATGGATAGCTACCTTTCAAACCTGTCAATCAAAATCATTCTGTTGACCATTTGTTGAAACAAAAGAAGGATCACGATGAACTGACTTTTTAAATACAAATCAGATAACTTGTAATATACGTTTTAAGTTTGTATGTTTTATACAAAAAGTTTATTAAAAGATTTTTATTGTGTTACGTAATTTTATATAAAAAATATTTTTAAAGAAATTTTTTATAAAAATTTCAAATAAAAATATGGTTAGAATAATTATTTTTAGAATATTATTTTAGATATTTTATTTTTTTATTGAAATTTTTTTTAGATATCAAAATTTCAAAAGATCACTTAATTTTGAAGCTATTTCAAATAGATTTTCATAAAAATCATTTTTGAAATATAATTTTTTGAAAAAAAGTTGTCATTTTGACTACGTTTTAGTCTTCAATAATGTATGTTTATGTTTTAGGATGTCAAAATTAGTGTTTCAATTTAAAAAAATCAAATATAAAAAAACTTGTAATATTTTGAAAAACGGCTTTGTAAAATCCATTTTCAAAATTACACAAATTTTTTTTTTAAAGTTGAAACAAACATGCCCAAATTATCATATAGTTTTATTACACGTGTTTCAGTTTATTTTTATTTCTCTCCGATATATTTTTTTAAAAATTCCCTTGGGGCATTATGCATGGGAATATATGGTAGGGTTAAATATCTTGGCAAGAAGATTTCAAAGCACGACAACATTAGCCAGAGAAGCAGCATGAGGTTTTGTATTACTCTAAAGAATTTTATGACACGTCTCTTCTCATGCAATATTGTTAGTACACAAGATGATGAAATACTGAAAGCATGAGAGAATATATTTGTTACTCTGTAATGACGGCTACAAAAACTATAAGAAAGATTATGATTAAATGACAGCTACTACTAGTCTATTTATACATACAAACTAGGGTCACATAGGCAACATACTAAAATACTAAATTATCATTCAATATCATCCTTTAATTTAGAATTTCCTAATTAAAATTAACAACACTAATTCCATCCCTTAAGTGGAGAAATTGATACGTCTTGATCGCATTTGTCAGAACATCTGTCAACTACTTCTGAGTGCTACAGTGCACAACTTCTAGTGCTCCATTTTGGACTTGACTTCTCAGAAAATGATACTCTGTCTCAATATGCTTGCTTCTCCCATGCAACACTGAGTTCTTGGCAAGATTGATTGCAGACTTGTTATCAATTACCAGTTTCAGTGGCTTGTCTACCTTGATCTTCAGATCTTACAATAGATTCAGAAGCCAAACAACTTGGCATGCGGCTACAACACCTGCAATATACTCAACTTCACACGTTGACAGTGCAACAACAAATTGCTTCTTAGAACACCAAGAAATAAGACCTCCCAGAAACTTAAACAAGTATCCAAAAGTACTTCTCTTGTCAACTCTATCTCCACACCAATCAGAGTCTGAGTAACTCATCAACTCTGAATTAGTCTTTCTTCCAAAAGGGAATAATACTACATACTGCAGAGTTCCTTTGATATACCCCATAATCCTAACAACAGCTTGGTAATAGGACCACTTAAGTTTACTCATGAACCTACTAACCATTCCAACTGCATAGCAAATATCAGGTCTGGTATAACACAAATATCTCAGAGAACCAACCAACTATTTGAAGGTTGTAGCATCCACATCCTCACCCTCAGAATCATAATCCAATTTATGATTGGTTTCTGAAGGTGTGACAGCAGCCTTACAATTTTGCAGCTTAAATTTTTTCAGAAGCCCAAGTTCATACTTTAGCTGATGCAAAATTATATCCTTCTCAGAGTACAATAACTCCATCCCTAGAAAGTATACCCGCTTTTTTAGGTCAGTCATCTCAAACTCATTTATCAAAATATTCTTGAACTTGACTAGCTCCTTAGAAAAACTACCAGTCAACAATATGTCATCAACATATAGACACACCATAATCATATTGCCTCCAGAATGCTGCACATAAACGCCATATTCCATCTCACATTTCTAAAACCCCTGCTTCTTGAAAAATGAATCAATCTTCAAGTTCCAAGCTCTGGGCGTTTGCTTTAATCCATACAAGGCTTTATGAAACTTGTACGCCATCCCTTCTTGATCTTTTTCACAAATCCAGGAGGTTGTGACACGTATACCTCTTCTTGTAGCAGAATGTTTAGAAATGAAGACTTCACATCTAGATGAATTAGAGGAAAATCTCTATTCGCAATTATAACAATCACCAATCTAATTGTTTCATGTCTAGCTACAGATGCAAACATCTCAAAGTAATCTAACCTAGGTTTCTGAAGAAAACATCTAGCCACTATTCTTGCTTTATGCTTGCTAATTAATTCATCTGGCTTAAATTTTACCTTGAAATCCCATCTTATGCTGATGGCTTTCTTCTCGTTTGGAAGCTTAGTCAACTCCCAATTCTTGTTTCTTTTTGTAGCCTTAAGTTCTTATTTTATGGCATTCAAACATACTTTATTCTTAAGAGCTTCTTCAATATCCACTAGTTCAGAGTCTACTAAAATGGCACACTGAATGACTTCTCCCTCAGAGTCTACTTCGATGTACTACAACATGTCAACCTTTACTAATCTTCTCGGTATTTGTATAATTCTTTGTGGCCTTTGAACTTGTTTTGAATCTTCAATAGAACGTAGAACAACATTATCTTCTAGACCTCGTCTAGAGCTACTACCTTCAGAATTAACACCTTCAAAAACAAGATAACCTCCAAAAGCTTATCCTCCAGATGCTACATCTTATGAGTTTTACATTCCAGAAACACGAACTCCACTAGATTCTGGATCATCATCAAAATCCGGATCAAAATCAGATTCTCCTTCAAAATCACCTTCAGATTCTGACTCATCTTAAGAGTCTCGAGTATCATCTTCTGAATCTAACTCTTCTTCAGAACTTTCAAGTTCTGAATCATCTTGAGAACCTTCTGAAGTATCTTCAGAAGCCACTACACCAAATTTGTCTTTTAGCAGCACCCCTACTAAAGCGCTTTTTGTAAAAGCGCTGGTATAGGTTGCGCTAAAAACAAAATAAAAAAACACGCTAAAAAAGCGCTCTTAAAGGGGGGGTTACAAAAGCGCTTTCAGAAAGCGCTCTTAGAGGCTGGGGTACGAAGGCGCTTTTGAAAAGCGCTCTTATAGTGGGGGGGTATGAAAGCGCTTTCTGAAAGCGCTCTTATAGGGGGCTTATGAAAGCGCTTTCAAAAGCGCTGATATAGGGGGTGGGGTACAAGAGCGCTTTTATCCTCAAAAGCGCTGGTATAGCCTTAGTTACGAAAGCGCTTTTCAAAAGCGCTGTCATACCCTCTTTACAATTAAAATTTTTTAAAACAAAATCTTGCATTCTTCTTCCAAATCCCTAAACGCGTTCTTCTTCCAAATCCCTAATTTCTGCTGAAAACGCACAAAATCCTTGCATTCTCAGAAACGCGTTCATCGTCTTCCATCTTTGCTTGCATCTTGTCTTCAACTCTTTGCTTGCGTGGTATTGCTTTTACTTCAAAGACCGGAGGGATTAGCAGGTATCGAACTTTGATTCTGTCTTTGAGAAATTCCGATCAGAGGCTCCTAAAAACAGAGCAAACCTCGTTCTGTTCTTGGCTGATAATGATCCTTCTACCTCTCTTAGCTGGTGCCCTGGTATTTTTCTTTTCTTAGTTGATTGTTTTTTTTTGATAACATAGCACTATGTAGACACACTGTTTGTGAAAATGCTGCATAAGAAAAATTGGATCCGGAAATTATTTTGGGTGATCGATTTGTTACTAGTATATGTTTGGAATCAAAGCCCTATCTAGTTTTTAGAAGCCCTGTGTGTAGGTTAGCCAGAGTTTCACTATGGCAAGACAAATAGAGGTCTTATTTAATCACGATTTAATCGGATAGATATTTTATGTGCCCGTATTTAGTTGTAATTTAACCCTGACAAATTTAGGGTCATGTGCGATAGTCTTCCTTGCATGCCCTCATGTGCGATAGTCTTCCTTGCATGCTCTCAAAGACGAATGAATTTGAGGAAATCATGGTGGCATTGTAATTTTGTTGATGCTTTGAAATGTAATTTTGCCAAGATCAGAGTAGCATGACGTGATTCTGCCAAACTCATCACAAATCCAAACATGCACTAAAACTTATTTTATCTTTGAAATGAAAATTGAGCTATGAATATTAGACTTTTGTATTATGTGTAAGTGTAACTATAACGGCGTTACACCGTAGAAGAATTTGGTCTAACCCCAATGTTCTGCCATAAGTTGTTTAGTACAAAATGCTGTTGCCAAATAGCAACTATAGTGGTGCTACAACACTATTGTGAATTTTAAATATATGCTATCTGCAATTGACAACGGGGTGTATTGAGAATTACTCAAGTTCATGTTACCGGATGTATTGAGAAATACTCAATTTCGACTTTGAAAAGAGACAAGACTTGAAAAAAAGTTAATAGTGATAAAAATGATGATGTATTGGTGTGTCTATAAGAAGAAAGATCTGTGCGCGTTTTAGGGAAAAAGAATTTCCTAAAATTGATGTTATGTGATTCTGATTTATTTTGGGTGTTTTATATATTTGATTTGCAGTTTGAGAAGCATGATACTTCTTCCATTTATGAAAATCCATGAGGTTATGTTTTTTTATGATGTTTGCTTTGTCTTTTTAGACTGTGTGAGAGCTGAGCCAGTGATTCTCAAGAAGCTAGAGGCTTCACCTAATGGTATTGCTTGCGGAATTTTTCTTATATT